AAATCAATAATTTGATTCTGGACCTATTAAAATAACATAACTTTAAAAATTACAATTTGGCTATATTCCATATGAAAGCAAAAAGCTAAATTTGACTTCTTTATTTTTTTTAGAGAAAATACAGTCTTATTAGTAAATTTCAAAAATCTATTTTAAATCAATTGAGAATCATGAAATATATATCCTTATTTCCCTATCTAAATATCTAAAAAATTTTTAATTCTGCTGATTAGAATCTATTCCCCAACTATAATACTGATTTTTTAATTCTCTTAGAAGTATTATTATTTCAATTTGTTATCCCTTGTTCTTTTGATAAAAAAGAGAATCTATCAATTAATACTGTATTTTTAATTTAACTTTAATTATTCTTTATTAGAAAATTTTAATTTTCAATTCAAAAGATAAATTTTCTAATGAAAAAGAGCCCCTAAAAATAAATTGCAATGATAATATATAAAATTTGGATCTTTTTAGGAATCCTTACAAATTTTGAACAAACTTTAATTTAAGGCTTATTGGAAAATTTGATAGGATTCTTCCAAATTACAGTAAAAATTATGATAAAGTATTTTAATCAAATTATCAAGTATTTATTATAGATAATCTTTTAAATAAACGGCTAAATTTCGAGTATGTATAATTTGTTTAATCTAACATGATTTAAATTAAGATATGTCGATTATGACACCGATGGTTTACACTGAATATACTAATATATTGAAAGTAATCGAACCCAAGAATTTTTAGAATATTAATCTTTTAATTGTAATTAGTATCTTTATAATTACATAGATTTTTTAAGATGAATTATTCCTATTTAAAGTTTAGGTTATATCATTAAAAAAAAATCAATTATAATAGTAAACAATCTCAATAAATTCTTTTGTAATCGGTTTAAAAATGTAAAAATAGAAATAAACCATTTTTGTATTCATATTATCCTTACTGTTTTGCTTAGTTTGCTTCATTTGCATATGAACTTAATTCAAATTGATCAACTAAACAAAATAAACGTTGAACATAAAGAGTTTAAGAAATGACCCAAGATAATTATATTTTTTCTTGCCCATATGATCATAGATATAAGTTTATTACCTTAATATTCCCTAGTATTTGTTATTCTAGCTCAAGGATTTGTGAAATCTTTAATATTATAAAACTGCATTTTATAAATTTAGGGTACTTAATATCGCCAAAGACATTATTTATGTGTTATGTATAGCATAACTTTGAGAAAATCCTATTTTAGAGATTTTATTTATTTATGGCAGCATACTTAGATAATTTAATATATTAAGATATTAATAGTAGACCATTCTTTTTAAAAGATTTGAAATTCTAGAATGGAAGATGATATCATAAAATTGCTTTGATTAAAAAGAAAATTGGAACGCTTAATTGTCTGGATGATAATATCAATGTGATCCATTTTTAATTAAAAGTATCTTAAAATTCTGAAAAACCTCAATTATTTGATTATTTAATATTATGAATATTTCATTTAATTTAAATGTTCTTTAAATACTTGTGAATTATAGTAGTATTATCATTAATTATTAAACATTATCATATTTATTAAAAATATGGTTTATTTAAATATTTGACTTATGAAAAAATGATAAGATCCTATATACTTAAAGTAAATTTTATGATAAATCAATCCTTTATTTTTTTCTAACTCTTAAACTTAAATTGGAACTAGCTCTTGAATTATCTCTTTTAAGGATTACACAATTCTTTTTAATCAGATAAAGGAAAACATTATTATCCAAAATAACAGATGGTTTACTTGAGAAGTAACCACAGTCTTTAAAGAATTTATTAAGAGGTTAATCATCATAAATTACCTATTTGAATTTTCTCAATAAGCATTATACTTTTAATTTCTTTTAAGCCTATTTTTATGATACACATTACCACATCTTTCCATTATTTCGTATAAGAAAGCTAATTTTGTAGAGGAATTAATTATAGCTACAAGTTTATCTCATCATTTAAGGCAAATTAAACTTGTATTGGGCAAGCATTTCGTTGGTTATTTACAATATCATTAACTTTTTCCCTAAAATCAATCAAAAGGCTTTGAAATCAAACCTAAAATAATTCTTAAATAATCTCAATAAGCATAAATTCATTTTCAAAAGACCAAAGTTTAATTTCTACAAAATCATCGCTACTAGTTTTGGGTTTATGTTAAAAAATTTCCAAAAGTTCTTAAATTTGAATTATTCCAGTGGCGCTTATCTATAAAAAGTAGAGGAATTACATTTTCATCTTCATTATTAAATTAATCTCTTATATTCTATTAATATTGGTCTTAAGTTCATTACAGCAATGCCATAATCTAATATGGGATTTTAAAGTATTTATTTCTTTCAATATTAGAAATCCTAAATCTCAAATGTTGAACTTAATAAAGCTTAATAAGAAATTTTCAATTTACAAGTAGTTTTTCAAATATAAATAAAATATAAACATGTAGAGTATTAAGGTTTTTCAGGTTTTTACAAACATTTTCTTAAGTTTGAATTATTTAATTAGATGACTATTCAAAATTCGAATTTTTATTCACTTTAGATTAATTAACCTAATTTAAATTTTATTAAGTTTAAATTTAGATATATTTAACTAATTTTATCTATTTATTATTAATTCTTTTTTCTTTATACCTAAAGAATTTTTCTTCCATATCATAATTTGATTCAACCATCATATTTTCAGTTATTGTTTTATAATAAATTTATTACAATTTTGTATTCTCCTCTTAAAGTTTCTTTAATCAAAATATATTAGAGTTTAGGTACCTATTAAATTCTAATATTCAAATCAGTCTATTACTAATAATATGAATTTTCATTAGTTTTATTAATTCAAGAGATATTAGAATTTGTTAATTTGATTGTTTTTTTTCAACTCTATTTGAAGGAATAATTAAAGATTTTTTTTTATTTTATTTGTTCATTATTCTCAAAAGTAACCAAATTAAAAAGTTAGATTGGCCAAGAGCTTGACCCAAAGAATTATGTTATCTTTTAAATATACAAAATTAAATAAATTACTAAATCATAATACACTATAAATAAGTTACTTCATCATTTATAATCTCTGACTAAAATACTCATATTTAGCAATCATCAAAATATTTGAGAATAATGTAGGGGACTATGTAAGCATTACCTTAGAGCTTAATTTATAGCAACCAGGTGTTGACTTGAAATACAAAAAGAAATTAGCATAATTTAGATGCAAAATATCAAAATTTATAATTTCAATCACATTCAATTTATCAAAAAATAGAACTTTTATGTATTTCAGGCATTCATGATGATATAATCTATATGTAGAAAAGTGAAATTAGAATAGATTTTTGCTACATCAATCCAAAATAACATGTTATTTACTTGCCCAGCAGTCCTTTCCAAAATCAACTTAAGTTCACCTGACTTATTATTATTCATTCTAACAAAAGATTTGATGAAATTAAAAATTAAGAAAATCAAATAAGAAGAATGAGTTAATTTTAAGAAGACATTGACAAAGATATTCGTAAATTTGTTTTTGAATAAATTTTTTGTATTACTATAAGCGTCAATAAAAATAATTGTTAGTATACTTGAATTTTACTTTTTGTTTTTGCTCATGTTTTTAATTTAATAAAGAATTTTTTCTTTAGCTTAATTTTGATCAAAGATTCTTAAAATTATTTAATATAATTATTAGGGCCAAAAACAGCAAAGTGAAACTTGTCCAAGCCCAAGTTTCGACTGCTTCTTTGGGCTCCTATTTCCTTCCTGCATTCAGCAGCATTATTTACCAGGATCTAGTTCGTTGAATAAATTTCCAACTCTTTGAATATTGCTTTTAAAATACAATAAAACATTTATTTTTTCTAAACTTTTAAGAAATTGATTGAATTTAAATGAATATTAAGTGATATAAGTTTAATTATAGATTCAATAAGTTAATGAAGTAAGAATAATATAGTTGTATGTTAGCACATCGAATACTTATCAATAAATAATTTCTTATTATTTGAGATATAAAGACGGATAAATTTATTGCAGAAAAATTTATATTTAATTTTCATATATTCACATTCTAATAATTAAGGTGAAAAATGATATTTTCAAATTTTAAATCATTTGGCAAAAATCACAGAAATTGCAATAGGAACAATAATATTTAGAAAAAAAATAGACTCACATATCAAGAACTAGTTGGAATGATGAATGGGTTTATATATACTTTGATGATAAATTAATAAAAGAAATGATATCTATGAGATAAGATTATCAATTATGTGGTATTTTTGATGTTGATGAATATGACAAAAACGTTATTTTTGCTTTCCAAAAGATTCATTTCTCAAAAAATATTTTCATAAAAATCACCTCAAATTTAGACTAGGGAGCAGAAAATGTAAAATAACTTAAAAATTTAGGAATCTTGGGATATTGTAATGCCCAAAAGAATGTATGATTGTTAAGATAATATGATACCATGTGACTTTTGGATTCATGTTAAATCATTTT